ACAGTGCAGCCTTGATTCGAGAAAATGCATTCTGCTCATTTTCCTCCCATTGCCATTCAGCAGATTTCTTCACCAGATTGTACAGAGGTACCATTATTGTTGCGAAATGAGGTATGAACCGTCGCAAGAAATTCGCCGTTCCAATGAATGATTGAAGCTCGTTAACATTCGAAGGAGCCTTAGCGTCCCGCATTGCCTCAATCTTATCCGCTGTGGGAGCCACACCAGCACTAGAAATCGTGTGACCCAGGTAGGAAATCTCATCCATCATGAAATGAAACTTACTGGGATTAAGCTTCATCCCGGCCTCCTGTAGGCGATGTAGTACCCTGATCAGGTTGTTGTGGTGTTCATCCTCGTCCTTCCCAGTAATCAGGATGTCATCCACATAGACGATGCACCCAGGCAGATCTGCCAATATGGATTCCATTGTGCGTTGGAAAATTGCCACTGCCGAGTGAATGCCAAACGGCAATCTCACGTATCCATACAACCCCTTGTGAGTAGAGATTGTCGTGTACGGCCGAGAAGCTGGATCAAGCTCCAGTTGGTGATAGGCTTGGGAGAGATCCAATTTGGTGAATTTATCTCCCCCCGACAATTTCGCTAACATTTCCTCAATAGTAGGTAGCGGGTAGTGCTCCAAATCAGACTTGGCATTGATTGAGGGAGAGTAATCAGCACAAATTCGGATACTACCATCCGATTTCAGTACTGGCACAGTAGGCGATGCCCATTTGGAGTGCTCAACTTTGCGAATAACTCCCTCTGCTTCCAATTTCTCCAACGCCTCCTCGTACTTCTCCGTGATAGAGAACGGTACGGGACGCGCCTTGTGGAAAATTGGATCAGAATCATCCACTCTCAGGGTGATTTGAGCCGACCTCAGCTTGCCAACCTGAGTCGTATCGAATAGCTCCTCAAATTCCTCAATGAGAGCTCTCCTCCTACCATCCATTTGAACATGATTGACATTGACAATCTGTTTCCACGGTAGAGTAAATTGGGACAACATATCCCTGCCCAACAATGACGGACCACCATTATCCACCACACGGAGTAGTGTTGGTTTCTCCACACCATCAATGCTGACATTGAACTTCCCTTCACCAATACATTTGATTTCTGCCCCAGAAAAACCGGTCATGCGTACACTCGGTTTGGTTAAATTTGTACGAGACACCCCAAGTGACTCAAAATCATGGACAGAAATGATTGAAATGCCACTGCCCGTGTCGATTTCCATTACAACAGTAACATCATTCACAGCAATTTCCAATTTGTAGGAGGGCACAGATTTGCTCTTCAATTCGCCCTGATCCGAAATGTGGAACATTGGCATGCACTCAAGATCAGCAGATTCATGCCCACCTGCGTCATCAGTCACAACATTGTGCACCGACGCGCCTGACGTGGATTTCTGCCGACAAACACGCTCCAAGTGCCCCTTCCTGTGGCAGTGACGGCACTCAGTGGCCTTGAGTTTGCACTTATCCGCCAAGTGTTGAGTAGACCCACAGCGGTAGCACAATCTCTGCTCTCGAGATTGATGAGATTGACGAGAAACACCAGACCGCGGCTGCGAACGCGATTCCACTGGCCGGTGATTCACCTTGTGCACTTCCTGCTGAGAGGTCAGCTGCACGGCTGCGCGCGCCGCCGATTCCTGCGTCAAAGCTAGTTTGACGATGTCATTGAACGACTGTGCCGAAGTATCTTCTTTCGTCAATAAGAAATTTCGAGTGGATGAGCTGCTCAAGCCAGCAATAAACTGGTCTCGAAGCGCTCGATCGAGGTGATCAGCAAACTCACACCTCACAGCCAATCTCTTCAGACGAATGATGAAATCCGCAGTCGACTCATTTTCCTTCTGCTTCAACTGATGGAAATTGAACGTCGCCGAAACTTGCGAAATTGCAGGTTGAAAATACTTCCTCAAAAGATCGCAAATCTCCGACAGTTTCTTGTCAGCTACTTTCGCTGGCAGACAGAGGCTCCTCAAAATCGAGTAGACTTCTGCAGACAGCAAACTCACTAATACAGCCTTCCTTTTCTTGCTGGCAGCCAACTTGTCTGCAGCATTGGCCGAAGCAGCCACGGTTCCAATATCATTGGCAAAGAAATAGAATTCAAGTCTTTCCTCAAACTCTTCAAAGTCGCCGCCGGTAAACGGCTGAAGCGATGATATCCGAGCCATATCTTCTTCGCCAGTTGTTGTGTCCTACCCCCGGTGGGTTCAACTCGGACTCATCCAGCTCGATCACACACACACTCGAAGCCATTACAGATTTCAGTACATCTCAAACTCCATATCCGAAAAAGACCAAGCTCACGTGCGAGCATGCGCACTACATACATATGGTCCATGTCCAGGACATGACAACATGTACATTGACCTGTTGAGCCAATGACGACGCCGAATGCATGGTTGCCTGTGGAGCACATTACATAATTTTACAGTCTCCTAAAATACGTATCCTGTCCGACGGCAAAAGAGGCTGCAGATTTAGTTTTTCTGCGCGTCGACGGGATGTCTGCGACGCGAAAGTTCAGTTCGCGTTATTTGGCTCGCACGTCGAAAAATCAACGCGAGTGACCTGCTGCTCACGTCGAAATTGTTTACTGGGACCGGCGCTGACTCTGCCGATCACGGGCGTTCTGGACTCGACGGGATGTCTGTCCTGATGTTTCCTGGGATCGGCGTAGACTCTGCCGATCACGGGCGTTCTGGACTCAAAGGGATGTCTGTCCTGACGTTGCCTGGTACCGCCGGACTCTACCGATCACGGGCGTTCTGGAGTCGACGGGATCTCTCTTCCGACGTTTCCTGTGACCGGCCCTGAATCGCTCGTTCGCGCTTATTTTGGAGACGACGGGATCTCTCTTCCAAAGTATGTTTATGCTGACGCATCCTATCACATAATCGGCGTCTATTCTAATTTAATTTCCTCATCGTCTCCCTATTTCTTTCCAAATCTCCTTCTACATCAGGGAGTCGTATACATAATACGACGAATATTGGTACGGTACGGGACAGATACAGGAGCCCGCAAATATTGTGGACAGCTGTTATGTACAATCCTGTAGAGCCTTTGTAGTCACAGATACGGGAGAGATACGGGACAGATACGGGATAGCTCCAGCCGTGCTCCCCTCCTGTGCTAGAATTAACACCATAATTATTTGGCATGTGCCCTCACTTCGTAGAGCACAACGGCGCGCTCTTCTTCTCCGTGATGTGCACAGTTGCACCTTCTCTCTCCCCCCCCCCTCTGTATAGAGGTGACATTACTCGCATCATTTTATTTTTTGGCGCTACACTCTGCGTAACGCCATTCACAGAGCACAATGCGCGCTACCTTCTGTTGCTTCTCCTCCGTGATGTGCTAGTTGCGCCTTTTCTCTCTCTCTGTCCCCCCCTTCTGCACACTAGGTGACATAATTCGCATCTTTTTTGGCGCTACACTCTGCGTATATACTGGTATTGTGTGGCTTCCACGGTATTCATTGCTATTACCTGACGATGGCCAAGTGCCGAAACGTTGTAATAATAACGGAACTGGTTCGGATGTGATGTGCAGCGCTATGGGAATGGGTGTGTCCACCCGAATTCTTTTGTACAAAGTTAGTTTCAGAAAGAGGAGCTTGCCGATGAGAAGCTTTTTTTTGTCCCACTAGCACAGCGCTGTGGTCAGCACATCACAGCACACGATCAAGAGTCTCAACATGCATAGAGCGCGTCCTGGAATCTGTGCACCTGTAGAGATTTACACAGTCAATTGTTTCTTTTACAGTGTAATTGACGCACCGCGTACCGTACGTACCGCTTTTGGATGCTAGCCTCCCACCATCTGCAGCCCGTGCAGCAGATTGGTGTTTTTTTGACACCCAGGTCAAAATATTTGAGGGAGGGGCGGGTGCCCCCAGCGCACTCCCCTAAAAATGACACTGTCTAGTCCGTCATTTGCCAAAGTTGCGCACACTTGGGTTATGCACTCATGACCATTAGAGTGCCAAAGATTGCTCGACTCACTTTGTCCTTCGCAGAGACAGTCTCGGGTTGGAGTTCCAGTAGATATTTGACGACTTCCAGATGCCCACCGAAAGCGGCGTGATGAACAGGAATGCGACCGATCTGTGTGCAGGTAAAGACAAGTTCAGACATTCATACATCATGTTATCTATCTGCAGTCTTTATCTTACAAATTAGGTATAACCTACTGTGACCAAAGTTTTACATGCATTCCGTAGTTATCCCACACTGACAATAATATAATTATAAGCATGATATTGATGAGTCACAAAGTGCAACAGTTAGCACAATAATGACAGCTGTGGTACCGACATTCAACCATCACGTCTCAAATGTGCACACCAACAGTCTTCCAACTTGGAAGGTTCTAAGTTGTTTTGGGGGGGGGGGGGGGAAAGGTGAGAAAGAGAAATGCGTTGGCGTGCGTATTCGAAACGTGATGGAACTAAACATCAGATAGTTGAATATCAGTACCACAGCACTCATCATTGTGCTAATAGTTGCACATTATGACTCATCAATATCAGACCGTTAACTCTACGTACAGTCATATACTACTAGTAGTCAGAGAATGTGTGTTTCTCCTTGCCAGTAGTTGTGCTTTCAGAAAGAAAATTTTAGCTTTCCGCACGGAATAGTCCACCCTCATCTATGCTACAACGATGAGTCCACAACCGTGACAAGTGACAAAACAATGTACAGCTCCCAGACCTAAAACTTTCAGATCCCGTAGTGGTGTAAGCCCTAAATCGAAGAGTCATGCCCTTGATTCAAAGAACCTTTACTGTTTTCCAATCGGGCACCGTTCAAAATGCACCAAAACATTACCATATGGCAGGCGACTGGAATCCGAGCGAGTCGGTATGGAACTGGTGATATTCCCCAGCAATAGACATAGAGTTAGGACAGTGATCCTCATGACCAAGAAGAGTGCTGTGCTGTAAGGAGAGTCAATGGTAGAGATTGTTCAACTTACATTGTTCTTTACAGAGATCATGTCTCGTTGGAGATCTAGTAGATACTTGACAACGTCTAGCTTTCCTTTATGGGCAGCGAAATGAACAGAAAGGTCACCTGCCTGTGTACAAGAAACACACATGACCAGACATTCCTATGCTTTATCCATCAGAAAACTACTCATATTGAATATAACGTACAACTCACTATGATGTGAAGCATGGTCATATACACAACTCTGGTAAGTCAATTGCATTATGCTTTTATAAGTGTTCATGGCTAGTTATCATTGTTGAAACGTATTTCCCTGACGAAGGTCTCATGAAAGCCGGATAGGAAATTCTAGGACGCATTACTTTGTCATTGCTATGCACAATGTCCGCCTCGTTCATTCTGCCTATTGCTATAAAATACTTCATGCAATGTAAATAAAAAACCAGAATGATGCAGAGAATGTACCATGTTGCAGTGTTGTGTCCAGGATTTTGCTTAGGGGGTCCCGGCTGGGGGGGGGGGGGGTTGTATGACATCATGTTACTGTCCCAGTTCAGCCAACTTTAAAAAAATGGTATAATTCCTCACCCAAGTCACTAGTGACACAGTGACACAGGCCGGTAATATAGATATCCAACAATAGTAATGCAATCACATTCGATGGGTTTCTTCCAGGCGTATCTCAGTTGCTACAATCATCAGTTTACTTTAGTTAGTACACCCTTGCCAAAAAATTATTTTCGGAGCATACAAGGCTGTTCCTCATCATGTTCTGGCTGGTCACTGACGACAGGTGCTTCTGCTTCTGGTGGAATGTCAGCCCCCTCCAAACTGGACTTACAACGATTTGATCAGTCGTACTCTTTCCAGTTGGAACAGGAATTGCGCCGTCACAAGAGCGCCTTGCAAATATCCATCCAGGGCTCTGCTGGCCAAAGCTTGGCCTCTTTGGATGTCAATGAGATTCCGCAGAAAAGTCTTCGAGTCAACCACGTTTCGAACACCGAGGCGATTATCCTCAAAACATTGTTGTACAAAGTTAGTTTCAGAAAGAGGAGCTTGCCGATGAGAAGCTGTTTTTTTGTCCCACTAGCGAAGTGCTGAGTTCAGCACATCACAGCACACGATCAAGAGACTCAACATGCATAGAGCGCGCCCTGGAATCTGTGCACCTGTGTAGATTTACACAGTCAATTGTTTCTTTTACAGTGTAATTGACGCACCGCGTACGTACGTACCGCTTTTGGATACTAGCCTCCCAACATCTGCAGCCCGTGCAGCAGATTGGTGTTTTTTTGACACCCAGGTCAAAATAATTGAGGGAGGAGCGGGTGCCCCCAGCGCACTCCCCGAAAGATGACACTGTCTAGTCCGTCATTTGCCAAAGTTGCGCACACTTGGGTTATGCACTCGTGACCATTAGAGTGCCAAAGATTGCTCGACTCACTTTGTCCTTCTCAGAGACAGTCTCGGGTTGGAGTTCCAGTAGATATTTGACGACTTCCAGATGCCCACCGGAAGCGGCGTGATGAACAGGAATGCGACCGATCTGTGTGCATGTAAAGACAAGTTCAGACATTCATACATCATGTTATCTATCTGCAGTCTGTATCTTACAAATTATGTTAACCTACTGTGACCAAAGTTTTACATGCATTCCATAGTTATCCCACACTGACAATAATATAATTATAAGCATGATATTGATGAGTCACAAAGTGCAACAGTTAGCACAATAATGACAGCTGTGGTACCGACATTCAACCATCACGTCTCAAATGTGCATACCAACAGTCTTCCAACTTGGAACGTTCTAAGTTTCGGGGGGGGGGGGGGAATGGTGAGAAAGAGGAATGCATTGGCGTGTGTATTCGAGACGTGATGGAACTAAACATCAGATAGTTGAATATCAGTACCACAGCACTCATCATTGTGCTAATTGTTGCACATTATGACTCATCAATATCAGACCGTTAACTCTATGTACAGTCATATACTACTAGTATTCAGAGAATGTGCGTTTCTCCTTGCCAGTAGTTGTGCTTTCAGAAAGAAAATTTTAGCTTTCCACACGGAAATGTCCACCCTCATCTATACTACAACGATGAGTCCACAACCGGGACAAGTGACAAAACAATGAACAGCTCCCAGACCTAAAACTTTCAGATCCCGTAGTGGTGTGAGCCCTGAATCGAAGAGTCATGCCCTTGATTCAAAGAACCTTCATTGTTTTCCAATCGAGCACCGTCCAAAATGCACCAAAAAAGATTATCATGTGGCAGGCGACTGGAATCCGAGCAAGTCGGTATCGAACTTGTGATATTCCCCAGCAATAGAAATAGAGCTAGGACAGTGATCTTCATGACCAAGAAGAGTGCTGTGCTGTAAGGAGAGTCAATGGTAGAGATTGTTCAACTTACGTTGTTCTTTACAGAGATCGTGTCTGGTTGGAGATCTAGTAGACACTTGACGACGTCTAGCATTCCATTATAGGCAGCAGCGTGAACAGGAAGTTCACCTACCTGTGTACAAGTAACACACATGACCAGACATTCCTATACTTTATCCATCAGAAAAGTACTCATACTGACTATAACGTACAACTCACTATGATGTGAAGCATGGTCATATACACAACTCTGGTAAGTCAACTGCATTATGCTTTTATAAGTATTCATGGCTAGTTATCATTGTTGAAACGTATTTCCCTGACAAATGTCTCATGAAAGCCGGTTAGGAAATTCTAGGACGCATTATTTTGTCATTGCTAAGCACAATGTCCGCCTCGCTCATTCTGCCTATTGCCATAAAATACTTCATGGAATGTAAATAAATGACCAGAATGATGCAGAGAATGTACCATGTAGCTGTGGTTTGTCCAGGATTTGGCTTAGGGGGTCCCTGTCGGGGGTGGGGTGTAGGACATCATGCTACTGTCCCAGTTCAGCCAATTTGGGAAAAAAGGTATCATTCCTCGCACTAGTCACTAGTGACACAGTCACACAGCCCGGTCATATAGACATCCAACAATAGTAATGCAATCACATTCGATGGGTTTCTTACAGGCGTATCTCAGTTGCTACAATCATAAATCATGGTACTTTAGTTAGTAAATCCTTGCCTAATTTTTTTGGAGCATACAAGGCTGTTCTCAATCATGTTTTGGCTGAGCACTGAAACCTGGTACTTCCACATCTGGCCGAATGTCAGTAACTGTTCGCTCCGAACTAAACTTAAGATTTGATCAGGAGTACTCTTTCCAGTTGAAACAGGAATTGCGCCGTCGCAAGAACGCTTTGCAACAATCCATCCAGGGCTCTGCTGGCCAAAGCTTGGCCTCTCTAGATGTCGCTGGAACTCCGCAAAAAAAGTCTTCGAGTCAACCACAATTCAGACCCCTAGGCGATCATCCTCAAAACATTGTTGTACAAAGTTAGTTTCAGAAAGAAGCGCGTGCCAATGAGAAGCTTTGTTTTGTCCCACTAGCGCAGCGCTGAGTTCAGCACATCACAGCACACGATCAAAAGTCTCAACATGCATAGAGCGCGTCCTGGAATCTGTGCACCTGTGTAGATTTACACAGTCAATTGTTTCCTTCACAGTGTAATTGACGCACCACGTACGTACGTACCGCTTTTGGATGCTAGCCTCCCGCCATCTGCAGCCCGTGCAGCAGATTGGTGTTTTTTGACATCCAGGTCAAAAAATTTGAGGGAGGGGCTGGTGCGCCCAGCGCACTCCCCTAAAAATGAAACTGTGTAGTCTGTCATTTTCCAAAGTTGCACGCACTTGGGTTAGGCACTCGTGACCATTACAGTGCCAAAGATTGCTCGACTCACGTTGTTCTTCGCAGAGACAGTCTCGGGTTGGAGTTCCAGTAGATATTTGACGACTTCCAGATGCCCACCGAAAGCGGCGTGATGAACAGGAATGCCACCGTTCTGTGTGCAGGTAAAGACAAGTTCAGACATGCATACATCATGTTATCTATCTGCAGACTGTATCTTTCAAATTATGTATAACATACTGTGACCAAAGTTTTACATGTCTTCCGTAGTTATCCCACACTGACAATAATATAATTATAAGCATGATATTGATGAGTCACAAAGTGCAACAGTTAGCACAATAATGACAGCTGTGGTACCGACATTCAACCATCACGTCTCAAATGTGCACACCAGAAGCCTTCCATCTTGGAAGGTTCTAAGTTTTGGGGGGAAAAAAGGTGAGAAAGAGGAATGCGTTGGCGTGCGTATTCGAGACGTGATGGAACTAAACATCAGATAGTTGAATATCAGTACCACAGCACTCAACATTGTGCTAATAGTTGCACATTATGACTCATCAATATCAGACCGTTAACTCTATGTACACTCATATACTACTATTAGTCAGAGAATGTGCGTTTCTCCTTGCCAGTAGTCGTGCTTTCAGAAAGAAAATTTTAGCTTTCCGCACGGAATAGTCCACCCTCATCTATGCTACAACGATGAGTCCACAACCGTGACAAGTGACAAAACAATGAACAGCTCCCCGACCTATAACTTTCAGATCCCGTAGTTGTGTGAGCCCTGAATCGAAGAGTCATGCCCTTGATTCAAAGAAACTTCACTGTTTTCCAATCGAGCACCGTCCAAAATGCATAAAATAAGATTATCATATGGCAGGCGACTGGAATGCGAGCGAGTCGGTATGGAACTGATGATATTCCCCAGCAATAGACATAGAGTTAGGACAGTGATCCTCATGACCAAGAAGAGTGCTGTGCTGTAAGGAGAGTCAATGGTAGAGATTGTTCAACTTACGTTGCTCTTTACAGAGATCGTGTCTGGTTGGAGATCTAGTAGATACTTGACGACGTCTAGCTTTCCTTTATAGGCAGCACGATGAACAGGAAGGTCACCATCCTGTGTACAAGTAACACACATTACCAGACATTCCTATGCTTTATCCATCAGAAAACTACTCATATTGAATATAACGTACAACTCACTATGATGTGAAGCATGGTCATATACACAACTCTGGTAAGTCAATTGAATTATGCTTTTATAAGTATTCATGGCTAGTTATCATTGTTGAAACGTATTTCCCTGACGAAGGTCTCATGAAAGCCGGATAGGAAATTCTAGGACGCATTACTTTGTCATTGCTATGCACAATGTCCGCCTCGTTCATTCTGCCTATTGCTATAAAATACTTCATGCAATGTAAATAAATGACCAGAATGATGCAGAGAATGTACCATGTTGCAGTGTTGTGTCCAGGATTTTGCTTAGGGGGTCCCGGCTGGGGGGGTTGTATGACATCATGTTACTGTCCCAGTTCAGCCAACTTTAAAAAAATGGTATAATTCCTCACCCAAGTCACTAGTGACACAGTGACACAGGCCGGTAATATAGATATCCAACAATAGTAATGCAATCACATTCGATGGGTTTCTTCCAGGCGTATCTCAGTTGCTACAATCATCAGTTCACTTTAGTTAGTACACCCTTGCCAAAAAATTATTTTCGGAGCATACAAGGCTGTTCCTCATCATGTTCTGGCTGGTCACTGACGACAGGTGCTTCTGCTTCTGGTGGAATGTCAGCCCGCTCCAAACTGGACTTACAACGATTTGATCAGTCGTACTCTTTCCAGTTGGAACAGGAATTGCGCCGTCACAAGAGCGCCTTGCAAATATCCATCCAGGGCTCTGCTGGCCAAAGCTTGGCCTCTTTGGATGTCAATGAGATTCCGCAGAAAAGTCTTCGAGTCAACCACGTTTCGAACACCGAGGCGATTATCCTCAAAACATTGTTGTACAAAGTTAGTTTCAGAAAGAGGAGCTTGCCGATGAGAAGCTTTTTTTTTGTCCCACTAGCGCAGTGCTGAGTTCAGCACATCACAGCACACGATCAAGAGACTCAACATGCATAGAGCGCGTCCTGGAATCTGTGCACCTGTGTAGATTTACACAGTCAATTGTTTCTTTTACAGTGTAATTGACGCACCGCGTACGTACGTACCGCTTTTGGATACTAGCCTCCCAACATCTGCAGCCCGTGCAGCAGATTGGTGTTTTTTTGACACCCAGGTCAAAATAATTGAGGGAGGGGCGGGTGCCCCCAGCGCACTCCCCGAAAGATGACACTGTCTAGTCCGTCATTTGCCAAAGTTGCGCACACTTGGGTTATGCACTCGTGACCATTAGAGTGCCAAAGATTGCTCGACTCACTTTGTCCTTCGCAGAGACAGTCTCGGGTTGGAGTTCCAGTAGATATTTGACGACTTCCAGATGCCCACCGGAAGCGGCGAGATGAACAGGAATTTGACCGTGCTGTGTGCAGGTAAAGACAAGTTCAGACATGCAAACATTATGTTATCTCTCTGCAGTCTATATCTTACAAATTATGTATAACCTACTGTGACCAAAGTTTTACATGCCATCCATAGTTATCCCACACTGACGATAATATAATTATAAGCATGATAATGATGAGTCACAAAGTGCAACAGTTAGCACAATAATGACAGCTGTGGTACCGACATTCAACCATCACGTCTCAAATGTGCACACCAACAGCCGGAATCTTGGAAGGTACGTACGTACCGCTTTTGGATACTAGCCTCCCAACATCTGCAGCCCGTGCAGCAGATTGGTGTTTTTTTGACACCCAGGTCAAAATAATTGAGGGAGGAGCGGGTGCCCCCAGCGCACTCCCCGAAAGATCACACTGTCTAGTCCGTCATTTGCCAAAGTTGCGCACACTTGGGTTATGCACTCGTGACCATTAGAGTGCCAAAGATTGCTCGACTCACTTTGTCCTTCGCAGAGACAGTCTCGGGTTGGAGTTCCAGTAGATATTTGACGACTTCCAGATGCCCACCGGAAGCGGCGTGATGAACAGGAATGCGACCGATCTGTGTGCAGGTAAAGACAAGTTCAGACATTCATACATCATGTTATCTATCTGCAGTCTGTATCTTACAAATTATGTTAACCGACTGTGACCAAAGTTTTACATGCATTCCATAGTTATCCCACACTGACAATAATATAATTATAAGCATGATAATGATGAGTCACAAAGTGCAACAGTTAGCACAATAATGACAGCTGTGGTACCGACATTCAACCATCACGTCTCAAATGTGCATACCAACAGTCTTCCAACTTGGAACGTTCTAAGTTTGGGGGGGGGGGGAATGGTGAGAAAGAGGAATGCATTGGCGTGTGTATTCGAGACGTGATGGAACTAAACATCAGATAGTTGAATATCAGTACCACAGCACTCATCATTGTGCTAATTGTTGCACATTATGATTCATCAATATCAGACCGTTAACTCTACGTACAGTCATATACTACTAGTAGTCAGAGAATGTGTGTTTCTCCTTGCCAGTCATCATCATGTTCTTGCTGGTCACTGACGACAGGTGCTTCTGCTTCTGGTGGAATGTCAGCCCGCTCCAAACTGGACTTACAACGATTTGATCAGTCGTACTCTTTCCAGTTGGAACAGGAATTGCGCCGTCACAAGAGCGCCTTGCAAATATCCATCCAGGGCTCTGCTGGCCAAAGCTTGGCCTCTTTGGATGTCAATGAGATTCCGCAGAAAAGTCTTCGAGTCAACCACGTTTCGAACACCGAGGCGATTATCCTCAAAACATTGTTGTACAAAGTTAGTTTCAGAAAGAGGAGCTTGCCGATGAGAAGCTTTTTTTTTGTCCCACTAGCGCAGTGCTGAGTTCAGCACATCACAGCACACGATCAAGAGACTCAACATGCATAGAGCGCGTCCTGGAATCTGTGCACCTGTGTAGATTTACACAGTCAATTGTTTCTTTCACAGTGTAATTGACGCACCACGTACGTACGTACCGCTTTTGGATACTAGCCTCCCGCCATCTGCAGCCCGTGCAGCAGATTGGTGTTTTTTGACATCCAGGTCAAAATATTTGAGGGAGGGGCTGGTGCGCCCAGCGCACTCCCCTAAAAATGAAACTGTGTTGTCTGTCATTTTCCAAAGTTGCACACACTTGGGTTAGGCACTCGTGACCATTAGAGTGCCAAAGATTGCTCGACTCACGTTTTCCGCCGCAGAGACAGTCTCGGGTTGGAGTTCTAGTAAATACTTGACGACTTCCAGATGGCCAGTGAAAGCGGCGTCATGAACAGGAGATCGACCGAGCTGTGTGCAGGTAAAGACAAGTTCAGACATTCATACATCATGTTATCTATCTGCAGACTGTATCTTTCAAATTATGTATAACATACTGTGACCAAAGTTTTACATGTCTTCCGTAGTTATCCCACACTGACAATAATATAATTATAAGCATGATATTGATGAGTCACAAAGTGCAACAGTTAGCACAATAATGACAGCTGTGGTACCGACATTCAACCATCACGTCTCAAATGTGCACACCAGAAGCCTTCCATCTTGGAAGGTTCTAAGTTTTGGGGGGAAAAAAGGTGAGAAAGAGGAATGCGTTGGCGTGCGTATTCGAGACGTGATGGAACTAAACATCAGATAGTTGAATATCAGTACCACAGCACTCAACATTGTGCTAATAGTTGCACATTATGACTCATCAATATCAGACCGTTAACTCTATGTACAGTCATATACTACTAGTAGTCAGAGAATGTGTGTTTCTCCTTGCCAGTAGTCGTGCTTTCAGAAAGAAAATTTTAGCTTTCCGCACGGAATAGTCCACCCTCATCTATGCTACAACGATGAGTCCACAACCGTGACAAGTGACAAAACAATGAACAGCTCCCCGACCTAAAACTTTCAGATCCCGTAGTTGTGTGAGCCCTGAATCGAAGAGTCATGCCCTTGATTCAAAGAACCTTCATTGTTTTCCAATCGAGCACCGTCCAAAATGCACCAAAAAAGATTATCATATGGCAGGCGACTGGAATGCGAGCGAGTCGGTATGGAACTGATGATATTCCCCAGCAATAGACATAGAGTTAGGACAGTGATCCTCATGACCAAGAAGAGTGCTGTGCTGTAAGGAGAGTCAATGGTAGAGATTGTTCAACTTACGTTGCTCTTTACAGAGATCGTGTCTGGTTGGAGATCTAGTAGATACTTGACGACGTCTAGCTTTCCATTATAGGCAGCACGATGAACAGGAAGGTCACCATCCTGTGTACAAGTAACACACATGACCAGACATTCCTATGCTTTATCCATCAGAAAACTACTCATATTGAATATAACGTACAACTCACTATGATGTGAAGCATGGTCATATACACAACTCTGGTAAGTCAATTGAATTATGCTTTTATAAGTATTCATGGCTAGTTATCATTGTTGAAACGTATTTCCCTGACGAAGGTCTCATGAAAGCCGGATAGGAAATTCTAGGACGCATTACTTTGTCATTGCTATGCACAATGTCCGCCTCGCTCATTCTGCCTATTGCTATAAAATACTTCATGCAATGTAAATAAATGACCAGAATGATGCAGAGAATGTACCATGTTGCAGTGTTGTGTCCAGGATTTGGCTTAGGGGGTCCCGGCTGGGGGGGGGGGGGGGGGGGGAGGGAGGGTGTATGACATCATGTTACTGTCCCAGTTCAGCCAATTTGAAAAAATGGTATAATTCCTCACCCAAGTCCCCAGTGACACAGTGACACAGGCCGGTCATATAGATATCCAACAATAGTAATGCAATCACATACGATGTGTTTCTTACAGGCGTATCTCAAGTGTTACAATCATCAATAATGGTACTTTAGTTAGTAAATCCTTGCCTAATTTTTTTGGAGCATACAAGGCTGTTCTCAATCATGTTTTGGCTGAGCACTGAAACCTGGTACTTCCGCATCTGGCCGCATGTCAGTAACTGTTCGCTCCGAACTAGACTTACAACGACTTGATCAGGCGTACTCTTTCCAGTTGGAACATGAATTGCGCCGTCGCAAGAAAGCTTTGCAAAAATCCATCCAGGGCTCTGCTAGCCAAAGCTTGGCTTTGGCTAGCTTGTCGCTGAGACTTTGCAGAAAAGTCTTCGAGTCAACCACAATTCGAACCCCTAGGCGATTATCCTCAAAACAAAGTTGTACAAAGTTAGTTTCAGAAAGAGGCGCGTGCCGATGAGAAGCTTTGTTTTTGTCCCACTAGCACAGCGCTGCGTTCAGCACATCACAGCACACGATCAAGAGTCTCAACATGCATAGAGCGCGTCCTGGAATCTGTGCACCTGTGTAGATTTACACAGTCAATTGTTTCTTTCACAGTGTTATTGACGCACCGCGTACCGTACGTACCGCTTTTGGATGCTAGCCTCCCACCATCTGCGGCCCGAGCAGCAGATTGGTCTTTTTTTGACACCCAGGTCAAAATATTTGAGGGGGGGGTTGGTACCCCCAGCGCACTCCCCCAAAAATGACACTGTCTAGTCGGTCATTTGCCAAAGTTGCACACACTTGGGTTATGCACTCGTGACCATTAGAGTGCCAAAGATTGCTCGACTCACAATGCACTTCGCAGAGACAGTCTCGGGTTGGAGTTCTAGTAAATACTTGACGACTTCCAGATTCCCAGAGAAAGCGGCGTGATGAACAGGAATTTGACCTTCCTGTGTGCAGGTAAAGACAAGTTCAGACATGCAAACATTATGTTATCTCTCTGCAGTCTTTATCTTACAAATTATGTATAACCTACTGTGACCAAAGTTTTACATGCCATCCGTAGTTATCCCACACTGACAATAATATAATTATAAGCATGATATTGATGAGTCACAAAGTGCAACAGTTAGCAAAATAATTACAGCTGTGGTACCGATATTCAACCATCACGTCTCAAATGTGCATACCAACAGCCTTCCAACTTGGATGGTTCTAAGTTTCGGGGGGGGGGGGGGGAGGGGAAGGTGAGAAAGAGGAATACATTGGCGTGTGTATTTGAGACGTGATGGAACTAAACATCAGATAGTTGAATATCAGTCCCACAGCAGTCATCATTGTGCTACATTATGACTCATCAATATCAGACCGTTAACTCTACGTACAGTCATATACTACTAGTAGTCAGAGAATGTGCGTTTCTCCTTGCCAGCAGTTGTTCTTTCAGAAAGAAAATTTTAGCTTTCCGCACGAAATAGTCCGCCTTCATGTATGCTACAACGAAGAATCCACAACCGTGACAAGTGACAAAACAATGAACAGCTCCCGGACCTAAAACTTTCAGATCCCGTAGTGGTGTGAGCCCTGAATCGAAGAGTCATGCCCTTGATTCAAAGAACCTTCACTGTTTTCCAATCGAGCACCGTCCAAAAACACCAACAAATTACCATATGGCAGGCGACTGAAATCTGAGCGAGTCGGTATCGAACTAGTGATATTCCCCAGCAATAGACATAGAGCTTGGACAGTGATCCTTATTACCAAGAAGAGTGCTGTGCTGTAAGGAGAGTCAATGGTAGAGATTGTTCAACTTACGTTGTCCTTGACAGAGATCGTGTCTGATTGGAGATCTAGTAGACACTTGACGACGTCTAGCTTTCCATTGCGGGCAGCAAGATGAACAGGAAGGCCACCTGTCTGTATACAAGTAACACACATGACCAGACATTCCTAAGCTTTATCCATCAGAAAGGTACTCATATTGAATATAACGTACAACTCACTATGAAGTGAGGCATCGTCATATACACAACTCTGGTAAGTCAATTGCATTATGCTTTTATAAGTATTCAGTGCTAGTTATCATTGTTGAAACGTATTTCCCTGACGAAGGTCTCATGAAAGCCGGTTAGGAAATTCTAGAACGCATTATTTTGTCTTTGCTACACACAATTTCCGCCTCGCTCATTCTGCCTATTGCCATAAAATACTTCATGGAATGTAAATAAATGACCAGAATGATGCAGAGAATGTACCATGTAGCAGTGGTGTGTCCAGGATTTGGCTTAGGGGGTCCCTGTCAGGGGTGGGGTGTATGACATCATGTTACTGTCCCAGTTCAGCCAATAAAAAAATGTATAATTCCTCACCCAAGTCACTAGTGACACAGTGACACATGCTGCTCATATAAATATCCAACAATAGTAATGCAATCACATCCGATGTGTTTCTTCCAACAGTATCTCAGTTGCTACAATCATCAATAATGTTACTTTTGTTATTACATCCTTCGAGTACATCCTTGGCCAGCTTTGTTTGGAGCATACAAGGCTGTTCTCAATCATGTTCTGGCTGGTCACTGAAAACTGGTACTTCCGCATCTGGCCGAATGTCAGTAACTGTTCGCTCGGAACTGACTTACAACGACTTGATCAGTCCTACTATTTCCAGTTGGAACAGGAATTGCGCCGTCGCAAAAACGCTTTGCAAACATCCATCCAGGGCTCTGCTGGCCAAAGCTTGGCCTGTCTGAATGTCGCTGATACTTCGCAGAAAAGTCTTCGAGTCAACCACAATTCGAACCCCTAGGCGATTATCCTCAAAACATTGTTGTACAAAGTTAGTTTCAGAAAGAAGCGCGTGCCGGTGAAAAGCTTTGTTTTGTCCCACTAGCGCAGCGCTGCGTTCAGCACATCACAGCACACGATCAAGAGTCTGAACATGCATAGAGCGAGTCCTGGAATCTGTGCACCTGTGCAGCCTTCCAACTTGGAAGGTTCTAAGTTTCGGGGGAAAGAAAAGTGAGAAAGAGGAATATGTTGACGTGCGTGTTCGAGACGTGATGGAACTAAACATAAGATAGGTGAATATCAGTGCCACAGCAGTCATCATTGTGCTAATTGCTGCACATTATGACTCATCAATATCAGACCGTTAACTCTACGTGCAGTCATATACTACTAGTAGTCAGAGAATGTGCGTTTCTCCTTGCCAGTAGTTGTGCTTTCAGAAAGAAAATTTTAGCTTTCCGCACGGAATAGTCCACCCTCATCTATGCTACAACGAAGAGTCCACAACCGTGACAAGTGACAAAACAATGAACAGCTCCCAGACCTAAAACTTTCAGATCCCGTAGTTGTGTGACCCCTGAATCGAAGAGTCATGCCCTTGATTCAAAGAACCTTCACTGTTTTCCAATCGAGCACCGTCCAAAATGCACAAACAAATTACCATAGGGCAGGCGACTGGAATCCGAGCGAGTCGGTATCGATCTGGTGATATTCCCCAGCAATAGACATAGAGCTTGCACAGTGATCCT